GCAATGACCTGAAAGTATCCCAGTTTGTCTTCCTGGGATTACGGTGAGATTGCTTAGCTACCATGGGAATATTCATCACAAACATGATATATCTATGATCAGAGAAGGAGTTCCTGGTTGAAACTCTCCAATCATTTATCGTTAAAGAGCACGAAGTCGAACAAAGGGTAATATCTAAAACCTCTTCCCAGCCTACACGATCATCCGTACTCGGAAACATGAAGGTGGGAGTGCTACCCTTATTACATACTTCTAGATTACATTTTAATATAAAATCAAAAAGAGACTCACCTCTATCGTTAATTTCCGAGCTTCCCCACAAGGATTGCCGGGCATTGGCATCACAACCCATCAGCAAGGCTAGCTTCTCGGTCTGCGCGAAATTTTGGACTAGTAGTACCCCCTCTGGAGGTACCTCATCGTCGTGTGGCATGTAGGCGGATGTTACCAAAATCGCAGGTTTTAGCTTCCGCTCTATCCGGATGGTGGTTATATCTAAAGAACTTAAGTGAGAGCAGAGAAAAGCATTAAGGTGCGTTTTTGCTAAAATGCACGATCTAGGCTTACCCTGTCCTTTGTCATAAAAAAGATTATACCCATTGATGTTGAGCCCTTTGACACATGAGCTATGAACCCAGGGCTCTTGGATGATGGCAAGGTCGATGTCCTCCTCCCTGAGTAAGACAGCCAGATTATCCGTGGCACATTTAGAGTGTTTCAGGTTTATCTGCACGACCTTGGCCATTACTACATCAACAAGGTTTGCTATCGATGATGAGGTCATCTAGCAGCTTACTAGTGCCCTCAACCTCATCCAGAATATTATCCGGTGGCGCGTTTTTAAAGATTTTAATTTTTGCCTTCCGGATGCCGTAACGCAGCTTGCTAATTAGACCATTGCCAGAAAAGACAATAGACTACAATAAGAATCAGTGGAAAAGCTACAACTTAGCAGATCCTGAATTCATGAAAACAAAACAATAATAATAATAATAATAGGCAGTGACATTATCCCGAAAATAATAAAGAAAGGGTTCAAGAAAATTAATGGAATTATCGCCCAAGAAACAATATTTGGATGGATAATATCAGGCAAAGTATTAAAGAAACCAGCAAAAAGAAGTAAAGTAACAATTACAACAAAAAACATAGAAAAGTTTTGGGAACTAGAAGAAGCAGATAACACAATCAATGAAAAAACAGCAGAAGATGAAATATGTATGCAATTTTATGATGACACCACTAAAATAAACGGCGACAAAAAATTTATAGTGAAACTTCCATTAAAAAAAGATGCCACACTAGGTGAATCTAGAAATCAAGCAATGGCAAGATTCCTAAACCAAGAGAAAAAAATGAGTAATGAGAAAAGAACTGAATACATAAAATTCATGCAAGAATATGAGCTGAAAGGACATATGGAAAAACTAAGAGATAATACAATAGGAAAATATTACCTACCGCATCAAGCAGTGATAAGAGAATCAAGTCGCACTACAAAACTAAGAGTAGTATTCGATGCATCAGCAAAATCGACAAATGGAAAAAGCTTGAACGACATAATGATGACGGGGCCAAGATTACAGCAGGATATATTTGATATATTAATGAAATGGCGATTATGGAAATTCGTCGCTTCAGCCGATGTAGAAAAAATGTTCAGGCAAATAAAAATTCCACGAGAAGACCAAGATTATCAAAGAATTTTATGGAGAGAAAATGCAAAGAAAAAAATTATGGAATATAAATTTACAACAGTTACATATGGAACCGCAGCAGCACCTTTTCTAGCAGTACGAACATTACATCAAATTGCTGATGAATCAGAAGAAAATAAAGATATAAAAAATAGCATAAAAAAAGAATTCTACATGGATGACTTAATGACAGGAGCTAATTCAATATCAGAATGCATGCATAAAATAAATAAAATTAATAAAACTTTAAGTCTTAGAGGATTCCAGCTCAGAAAATGGATGTCAAATCATGAATCTATACTGGAAGAACTACCAGATGACAACGAGATAAAAATACTCAATATACATGAAGATGAATCAGTAAAAACCTTAGGACTTAAATGGAATCCAATAAAAGATAACTTCCACTTTACTATAAAAATGGAAAATATAAATAAATGGACGAAAAGAATGATACTTTCAAACACAGCGCATATTTTCGATCCATTAGGCTGGCTGACACCAGTAACAGTCACAGCTAAAATATATATGCAAAAAATATGGCTAAATAAATTTGACTGGGATGATGAGCTCAATGATGATTTACAAAAAGAATATGATAAATATAAAAAAAATATGCAAAACATAGATAAAATAAAAATACCAAGATGGATAGGAACTACAAATTCAAAAGCTTGGGAATTTCACGGATTCTGCGACGCATCAGAAGCAGCATACGCGGCTGTCATATACGTAAAAATTGGTTCATCTGTAAAATTACTAACAGCTAAAAGCAAAGTATCGCCGATAAAAAACAAAAAGACAATTCCAAAATTAGAGCTATGTGGTTCGCATTTACTTGCAAAATTAATGAGACGAGTTTCACAAATATTGAATAATAACGCCACGATATACTGTTGGAGTGACTCAATGATTACCCTATGCTGGATTAAAAATATTAAAAATAAAGAAAAATTTGTAAGAACAAGAGTTGAAGATATAAAAAAATGGATACCAAAAACAAAATGGCAACATGTAAAGTCACAAGAAAATCCAGCAGATATAGCTTCCAGAGGAATATGTCCTTCTAAATTAAAATATAATCCATTATGGTGGAACGGACCCTCATGGCTAACAAAAGAAGAAAAAGATTGGCCAAAACCTGAAAAAATAGAAGAAGTGAAAATACTGACAACAGTTACAAGCCAAAATAACGAAATAATAGAACAACTTATGGAAACAAACTCCAGTCTAACTAGGTTGGAACGAATCATAGCATATATACTAAGATTCATAAACCGACTCAGAAGAAATAAAAATCAAGCAGAATACTTATCAAAAAAAGAATTACAAAAGGCTAGAACTATATTAATTAAATATCATCAACAAAAACACTTTTCAGCAGAACTGAAATTAATTAAAGAAAGAAAAGAAATCAGTAGAGGAAGTAGAATTATTCAATTAACACCATTTACAGATGAAGAAGGTATCTTAAGAGTCGGAGGAAGACTAACTAACAGCGAACTAACTGAAAACCAGAAGCATCCAATCATTCTGGTTAGAGACAGATACACGGAATTAATTACAGAACAAACACACTATAAAACACTTCATGGCGGAAACTCGGTAATGGAAGCATATATTAAAAGACGCTACTGGGTAATAGGTATTAAAAAAATAATTAAGAAAATATGCGGTAACTGTGTGAAATGCATTAGATTTAAACAAAATTTCGCAAAGCAAATAATGGGAAACCTGCCAAAATATAGAGTTACACAAAACTACCCATTCGAGCATACAGGAATAGACTATGCTGGACCGATACAAATGAGATGTTATAGAGGTCGTGGGCAAAAATCATATAAAGCATACATAGCAATATTTATATGCATGACTACAAAAGCAATTCATTTAGAAGCAGTCACCGACTTGACATCTGACGCCTTCTTAGCAGCATTAAAAAGATTTTTCGCACGACGTGGAAAAAGTGCGCATATGTACTCCGACAATGGTACAACATTTATTGGAGCAGCAACCAAACTAGGCAAAGAATTTCAATTAGCTATCAAAGAAAATAATGAAGTAGCATCAATATTAGCAGCAGACAAAATTGAATGGCACTTTATTCCTCCAGCTAGTCCTCATTTCGGAGGTATATGGGAAGCTGGTGTCAAATCAATGAAACATCACCTGAAAAGAACAATTGGAGAATCGAAATTAACCTATGAGGAAATGACGACACTTCTGCATCAAATAGAGGCAGTGCTAAACTCTCGACCACTTTGTACCATGAATAATGATGTAGAAAGTATAGAAGCACTAACTCCAGCTCACTTCTTAATAGGACGTCCTATGTTGGACGACCCAGTACCAACTACAGACGAAAGAACAAGCAAACTTGATCATTGGAACCACATACAAAAAATGAAAAAAGATTTCTGGAACAGATGGAAACATGAATATTTAACAACATTACAAAAAAGAAACAAATGGCAAATAGAAAAAAATAATTTAGCCGAAGGCGATATAGTAATAATAAAAGACGAAAACTCATCACCAACAAATTGGCCGCTGGGGAAAGTTAAAGAAATATATAAAGAAGCTGATGGAAAAGTGAGGGTTGCCACTCTCAAAACCAAAGAAGGGGAAATTAAAAGGCCAATTAACAAATTATGTCAACTTATAAAAGATGATCAAAATGAAACAAAACGCAAAACTAATACAAAATGCACGAGAAAAAATACCTGTATAAATTTAGCAACAATCTATTTAGCCATGTTGTGCACACTGCCACTAGCAAAGGCATCATCAACTACTACAACATCTTCAATACAAGCATTAAACAATAACACATCAATTTTCTTGGACGAAATAGGAGAAGCAAACACTCAGACGTCAACATGGAACTTGGTAATATATTACGAAATGAAACCTTATTTTAAAATGATAAATCATGCAAATACAGTACTAGAAGTAACAAAGCCAATTTGTCCAAAATTATTACAGTTTAAAGATCAATGTAATAGTATACTAGATACAATGGTCAAACAAATAGAAGAATTAGAAGAAAATAATAAACTATTTATGGACAAAAACTCTGTCAGAAGAAAAAGAGCTCCCCTAGAGTTCATGGGGTCACTATTCCATATCTTATTCGGAACAATAGATGAAAAAGACAGGAGAGATCTCGAAGACAATATGCAAAAAGTGCTAGATAATCAACATAATTTAGTACAATTAACGCGGGAGCAAACATCTGTAGTGGATGCCACAGTAAACATATTAAAATGAACTACTAACGACATAAATGCACAATTTACTGACATGAGAAACAAAGTTGAAGCCATAAATGAAGCATTAAATGAAACATACCTAGTATATAGAGAAACAATAAACTACTTTATTGTAACAAAGCAACTTTCATCAATGATCGACGAAACGTCACGTACACAACGAGAAATAATTAATCTATTGATAGACATAAACCACAACAAAATAAATCCTACCTTACTGAAACCACATCAGTTACAAAACGCGATTATGCAAATAAAAGACAGGCTAACAAATAACGTGCAACTACCAGGAAAAAAAGGCGGAATTGATTTACAAATCATATACAAATTACTAGAAGCCAATGGGATATTCGTTAGTACCAAATTAATAATAAGTGCAAAAATTCCGCTATTATCAATACACCCATCATCAGTGTATGAGGTAATACCTCTATCAATTAAGAAGGGTGATACAATGATAATACCAAAGATATCAAAAACGATATTATTATATAATTTCGACATAGACTCTTATCACCTAATGACTCAAACAACCTTTAACAAATGTATTAGAATAAGTACAAACAAATACATTTGCAAAGGTAATTGGCCGTGGCAGGACGCTAATGACTCAGCGTGTGAAATAGCGCCGATCAAACCAACAAAAGAGGACAAATGCGAATACGACGAAGTATCCTCCACATCAATATGGATAACATTAAATGGCAACAACAGATGGTTATTCAAAACAATCGAAAATAGCTCAGCTCATTTACAATGCCCATCAAATAAAAATGAAATTCTCCAGTTACCCAAACAAGGGATTTTAAATCTGCAAACAGGCTGTAAAGCAAGAATAAAAGGAACAACGCTAATAGCCTCAAATGATCAACAGACGACAAAGAGATGTACAGACCAATGACAAAATTAACAGAAAACATAGAAAATAAATATATAAGGCCACTCAAATCATGGGAAATAAAAAACACCAAAGAATTAACGGAAATTAGAGATGAAATACTTAAGCTATAAACAAAAAAGACTGAATTAAAAAATCTACATTTTCATCACGCCTCAGCTCACATATCATTAGGACTGATAATAATTGTCATTATTGGAATAATATTATACGTGAAGAAGAAGAAATCGGTAGCAGTTACATTCAGAAACCAAAATATTTAGTCTTAGGCGCCGGCAGAATGTTCAATCATGAACATTATGGCCCCGGCAGAATGTTCAATCATGAACATAAATTTATAAATATTTAATTATTTTATATATTATATTATTTTAGTTTATTATTATCGCTTAAAACCTTATCACCTAAATTCCCAGAATAATGTACAAGGGTAAAAATACATTATATTAATATAGCAAGCATTGTAACATTTGAGCATCCGTATCTAATTATAACAATTAATATATTTATAGAAACAATAGGAGGAAAATCCCTAGTGTTGGGACTTCCGTCCTTTTTTTAACCTTTTTTACAAACAATAACAAAATGTAATACAGTCCATTAAAATAATAACCTTGATGTAAAATTAATCTTAAGATATTTTTGTATAAATACAGAACGTTGTTTTAAATAAAATCAGTAATTTACAAATACTCAAACGGTTCAGTTGTTTTAATTCTGAACA